CCCCTCGCGAATAAACGAGCGGACGGGATAATTTAAGGCGGTAACCTCGCGATGTTTCTTCGCTCTTAACGGACTGTCGTGCTTCCTTTTTATACCCTTTGCTTTCGTTCCTTATGTCACGCCTGCGATTTTTTTTCTCTTCTCTGTCAACCTCCTGTGTGTGTTATTTGCAACGTGTCGCAACGCGAGGTGAATTATTTCTCCCGATTTGGCCGGAGATTAATTCGTTTGTTGTTCCCAACATTGCCGTATAATAAGCTTCTGTTTTCGAATTACAATTTTTTGGATATTTTTCACACTCGGGAAATTTTGTCGAAAATTGAACAATGTCGGATTTTATAGAATAGAAACACTCTGAAGAGAAATTTTTTTTAATATTTTTCTCACTCTTGGGAAATTTGGTCGAAAGTTAAATAGTGTCGGATTTTCTACAATAAATAATTGTGCACGAGTGAAACTCTCTGAGGACAAATTAAATTTCTATCGAGGTCTGGTGATTCTATCTCACTTCATATTTTTTCACGAGCATAGAAAATTAAAAATTAGAATCCGCTATCCCCCTGCCACAAACTCCTAGGACGATGGTTATCGCAAAAATTCACGCTAAATAATAATACCAAAACAGCGGGAGTTCCGTTTAAAATGAGGGAAATTAAGCAACGATTAATACAGTAACCAATCTGTCTGCTAAAGTATCTAAATCACGACTTCGATTGCACTTCAAGTTCTTCATTCCCCACATAGTCCCCATCAAATCTTCCACTTCTCATCTCGCAACCTTCTCGAAACCCACCTGAACCACCCTTCGGTCAGCGGTCAGTTCGGAACTTCTGTTTCACGTTCCCAGTGACTCGGGTCGCTTTCGAAGGGATAATCGTTCCGCAAGGTGATACTTGGTCGTGGTCATGAGCAGGGACGTCTTAAAACCAAGCATTTTCCCCCTCGCTCACAGTCGGTTTCCGTCGGTCGCCACGGGCGATTACGCGTTCCTCCGCAGCGAATCGCGGTCGTAGCTGGATTTCACGACGTCGTTTTCACGGATCTTTCTTCTCGCTAGCGACTTTCTACGACCAATAAGGAAGCCCTGCTTCGCTTTTTTTTTTCTTCCTGCCTTCGCGATAGTGACCGGCAGTTGTTGTACAGCAATCGATTGGAAATGCCCGCTGCTCCGTTTTTCCGAGCGCGGTACGCGCGTCACGATACCACACTTTCGTTTCCAGTTAGGATTCTTCTGTATGAATTTAACACTTGATCGACTATCGAGGTAGATTTACGATTTTTCGTGTTTCATCCTCGAGAAATCTTATCGTGAATTATTGTCAGACGTGGAAATATTTTTCTTCAATTTTTCTTTTTCGCGTCCAGTTACTGTTCCCCTATAGAAATTTAACACTTGACAAACTGTGCAGGTAGATTCACGAATTTTCTCGTGAAATATTGTCAGACGTGGAAATTTTTTAATACGCGAGTTATTATTTCTCTATATAAACACTGTGGAGTTAGATTTATCATTTTGCACGGTGTCTTTCATATTTCATCCTCGAGAAATCTCACGGTGAAATATTAGACGTGAAAACTTTCGTGTCAAGTTTTTCTTTTACTCTCGGTTAGTTTTACTCGTCGAATTCTGTTGATTTACACAGAACGCGCGATGCCGATAGGTGGAAAGTCTCGAGAATCTCCGGCGGGATTTAGAAACGAGGAATTATTGGCGAATCCTGTTAGGCAATTTTGCATAGAGAAAATTAGGTATGCAGGAAGATTACGCATCGGTGTCTTGTTTCGCAAAATTATTCTCGCATGTACCATCGATATATCCAGACGTATAATTATTCCTGTACTTATCACAATCAGCATCCACCTCGATCTCGCCATTCGAATAACGCCCAATTACTCGATAGCCTGAATAACTCAATTAATCGCGCGATATATCCTGCATCAAATCCTTGCCTGCTAAACGTTCTTATCAACTGTACAAGACGTTCGACAAATAGCCAGCGACGACACCACATCCCATATGATAACTCGACGATATCGCTCACTCGTAGAAAGAAAGGAAAAAAGAAAACGGAATTTCCGTTGCAATTATAGACTTTTCCGCCTCGATCCGCTTCGAGTGGCAACTTGACACATTACCAAGTAGATCAGATAGATTTACCATTTTCCAATCTTGCGTGCTTCGTGATAAATAATGTTTCTCGAGCCTCGGTTACAATTGTATGTTGCAATTTCCTTGGGAAATAACAATTCGCCTTCTATCTATCGTAGTGATTCTCTCTTTTTTTTGCGAAAGTAAGTGAGATGTTAGAGTTGCAAGGTAGCAGTGTACCTTGTGTGCTCAAAAATTTACATATAATGGTTTATTTTTTAGGAAATTAAATAGGATACTAAAGTTGACTTTTTCAGAAATGTATCTGTCATAGTGATTTATTTTTTACGAAATTAAGTATAATATTGAAATTAATTTTCTACCGTTTAAGGAGACATACTTTTCTTAATTTATCTTGTGCGCCCAGAAATTTACCTATCATGGTGATTTAATTTTTAGGAAATTAAGTACGATATTAAAATTAATTTTTTCAGAAATTTACCTACTATGGTGATTTCTTTCCTACGAAATTAAATAGGCTGTTAAAATCAATTTTTTCAGAAATTAACCTTCCATAGTGATTTCTTTTTTATCAAATTAAACGCAATATCCAAATCAGCTTTTTACTGTTTAAGAAGACATACTTTCGTCAGTTTATCTTGTACACCCAAAAATTGTCCCACCAAAAGTGATTTCTTTTTCCAAATTAAACACAACATCGAAGTTACATTTTCACCATTTAAAAACACACTTTTCCCAAACTACCACAAAAATTTCGCCGAAAAGTATCGAAAAGCGACAGGAACGCAGCTTTCTCAATAGAACCCCCTTGGATACGTCAAATATTAAAAGAAAAAGAAGAAATTCAAAGCTTGGAGGCAGAATAAATTCGTTCGATCGGTTACCAGGAAACAGCCGAGCTTTCCGTCGTCCATTTGAACCGCGAACGAACGACAAGGCGAGAGAGAAAGAGAAAGAGAGAGCCAGGTTTCACCGTAATTTCGCGTTTATTTGTTCAGCACGGTGTACACGCGGCACGCGTTTTATTGCACCTGGGATAATTTAACGCCGTCGTATACGGGCGACAGTAAAAACCGCGGGGCGGCGTGGCAAGGTGGACGAGAAGTAAAATCTTACGGTTGCTACTTTGCCGCCGATTTCGGCCACCGGAAACCCACCTTTCCGCCGCTATTCCGCTACTCGTAAACACGCCGCTTCCCGCGGGATAACGCCGCGATTACAGACACTTCTCGCCTCGTAAAACGGAAGTTGAGATCTCGGCGAGGAGACAGCTGGATTCTAGGCGAGCAGACTTCGTCTCGATTCGCGGAGGCGTCGGGAGAAATTGCTGTCGACGTTCGGACAATTTTTCTTTTTGACGTGAGCAACGAAGAGTATCTTTCTCGGCGTGCAAAGTGAATTAGGAAAGGAAATCTGAATTGTCATTTTTTTCGCGGAATAGAGCAGGCAGTTGTAAGAAAATTTATAAATTTGGACTTGAATTAAATAAATTTGAACTCTCAATTTTTTATTACAAGAAATAAATAGATTTGAACTCTTGACAACTGAAATGAATTTTAATAGGGCAGTCAGTTATTGCAAAAAAAATTCAATAAATCTGGACTCTCACTTTTTTATTAAAAATAGGTTTGGACTCTGCAAGCTGAAATAAATTTGAACAGTCATTTCTTGTGCAGAATAGAGCAGCCAGTTGTTATGAGAAAATTGAATAAATTTGGACTCTGAATTTTTATTGTACGAAATAATAGAGCAGCCAATTATTAGGTTCCATAATACAAAATTTGAGATTTTTCGGGGAAGAATTGAAACTGAAAGAGTAACCCAATGAAGAATTCTACAAACTTGAATCGAACACGAAAGAAACCGAGAACGTTTCAACGCTCGATTAATCACTTCGCCAACGATTAGACGACGAAACAGTTCTCGACGCGTAACTTCTCATCGTCTCTATCCGAGATTGCGCTAATTAAATGAAAAGACACACCGCGTCTCCCTTTGAAGAATCACCGGTCTGACCTCTCGCAGACCGCCGTTAATGGTGTAAAATTAGAGCAGTCAATTCGAACGGACGACGCGATACGTTCAATGAAACTGTGTGTAATTGAGCCATACGTGTGCCTGCCATCGACAGCCCTCTTCGCCGAGCGTAACATTTGCATACGATCAATGGTCGATCAACGGGGACGTTTTAATTGCTCTATATCGAGCATCGACGGGTTGCTCCAGATCGAGATTAAATTGTATCTCAATTGACCTCCTTCGGATACAATTTCTGTGTTTCTAGGCCTTCCCCTGTTCGATTCTCGGGAAATAGAACGTTCGATCGTTGTCGAACGATTATATTATTAAATTAAACGATCGACTACCGGGTGAAATGGTGCGTTCGATTAAATTGCCCAGCTTCTATGTATGGACGCGTGTGTGGAATTTATAGATGATTAATGGGCGGTGTGTGACGTTTCTGTTGCAGCCAGAGACAGTTCCTCAAGCGAGGATCGACATGACCCGCGTACTAGAGGTAGCTGCTGCTGAGGACATCACCGGACATCCGTACAGCCTCGCGGTGACCTCACCGGAAGGTGTTACCTTTGTGAAAGGCACGTGCCGTGAGGAGACTAGATGGTGGGCTGACGTGCTTCAGGTCTATTCGAGAAATAAGGTTCGTTTCAGAGGGATACTTTTTATGGATCGGTAGTATTGGGAGCACATTGTGGTAGCTGTCGATTGCTGTTGTGCATTTGGGGTAGATTGAGGAGGAGAGAAGGATCGTTGACCATATTTCGACTATATTTTATGGAAGATTAGATATATTAATTGTTGTGTCATATAGTGGCAGAATTATTTTCAAATTCAGAAAAGGATCAGTGACATCGATAAGAGAAAATTTTTGACTATTTTTTTTTGGATTGTACATTTGTGGAAGATTAGATATGTTAATTGTTGTGTCATACAGTGGCAGAATTATCCTGAAATTCAGAAAGGATGGTCGATCGAAGGAATAGAATTTTTGACTATTTTTTGAGCGCAAATCTCTGGAAGATTAGACATGTAGTGGTAGAATTATCCTTGAATTCAGAAAAGGATTGTCGATCCTTGTGGATCGGTGATACCGATGAAATAAAGAGATAGAATTTTTCTAGTCTTCCGTTATCTTTAAATTCAGAGTTCGGAATATTCACTGTATTTGATATTGTCAAAAATACTCTTTTCAAAAATCCCCAAGAAGGAAAAGAGAACGAAACACCTTGGATACTATTTTAAATCCAATTTGCATACTGTAATGTAAATTCCAACGCGTCGAGAATAACAGAAAAAAGGTAGCCTTTCAACAGCAACTGTAGACTACAAACTGTCACTCACATTGTCAGTCACAAAAAGTACCTGCACCACTTTGAACAACTACTCCTGATAATTGCTCGAAATCAGCCCTTAAAAAACGAACGAAAAGGAGAAAAATGAAACACTTTCGATACAATGTTACATCAAATTTACATACTTCAAACACCTTTCCCGTGGATCTGAAGTGACAGAGAGAAAGAAACGTGACCGTAGCTGTTCGACGTTGGTTCGAAATCGGTGGACGAGAGAAAGAGGGGCGATCAGGATATTCGCAGGAGCGGAATGAAACTTCTGTCGAATTGCAAATAAGACGGGGCACGTTCGAAGCGGCTGGGCGAATTACACGTTTCACGGACCCGGTGTTCGCGACGTGAAAAAGAAGTCACGCTGACGGGGCCGCTGTCATTCGTTGATTACGGTGCTCGCATAATCATTACTACATCCTTCTGCGTCATGCTTGTTACGCGTGCAGTAATACCAGTCGCGTCGACTTGTCTCACCGGCGGAAATAGCTTTAATAAGCGCTTACGTTCTCCCTCTGTCTCTGTCTCGCTTATTTGCCAGAAGAGAGTTGTGACAACTCCGGCGAATTTTCCGCACCTCTACCTACGCGAAATTCCCGCCGTTGCAACTTTCACGGGAAAATCAGGGGTCCTGCGTTGTGATCGGATCCTGGAAACTTGGACGAAGCGATTTTTCACCTTTGGCGGATATTTCGGTATTTTGATGCTGTGTTTAGGTAATTGATGATGGTTTTTTTTAACGAGTATGTGGAATTTTGTAATTTTAATACTTGGTGTTTAGGATTTGATAGGAAGTGTTTGGCAAGTGTTGAGTCTATCAAATATTAAATTTACTAAGATTTAAGTTTACCAAGTATTAAGTTTACCATGAATTAAATTTACTAAATATTAAATTTACAAAGAGTTAAATTTGCCAAATATTAAATTTACCAGATATTAAATTTACTAAGTTTTAAGTTTACCAAATATTAAATTTCCTGAGCTTTAAGTTTACCAAATATTAAATTTCCTGAGCTTTAAGTTTACCAAATATTAAATTTCCTGAGCTTTAAGTTTACCAAGAATTAAATTTGCCAAATATTAAATTTACTAAGCTTTAAGTTTACCAAGTATTAAGAAAAACTTCTCAAAAGTAACGTCGCTTGGAATCCGTGCCACAAACCCCTGTTGGTTAAACAGTATCAACGACAGCGACCGCGGAAACCAACGGAAACAAACATGGCGGCTGGAGGATCGCAGTTAGCGGACTTCTAATTCTCGGTTATCGGGCGGCGGAATCGCGCGAATCGAGCTCTCGCTCTCGTACGGTTAAATCTCCGTCGTTTACGAGGAACAAGAGCGACCACGCGAGAGAAACAGAAGAGAGAGAGAGAGAGAGGAGGATAAAAGAAACGAGCCTGGCAAAAGTGCGATAATGCTCGATCATTAGCGGCGCGCTGTCGCGGCGTCACGCTCGTTACAGGACGAAATAATGGCAAAACTGCGGCGCAGCCGCTTTTCTGCGATTCACTCGATCGTTCAGAGCGCCTCTTCTACGCTTCTTTGCCGGTTTCTTATCGTCCCTGCCGCGGCCAATAGAGCTGATTATGCCTGGAGAACGACCGGGAAACATGGCGACAATGCTGGACGATCTTGGGGACCGATGTTTGCTAATCCACGACGACTGCCGGTGATTCAATCCCATTCTGGGACCATTTCCAGAACGATTCAACGGCTGACAGGTATTCAGAGGGGATTGCGAGTCGTCGGGATGGATCGGTTCACTGCGCAGTTTGGTTCAATTAATTTTAATTGATCAACGGTCCACTGTGGACGGCTCGAATTGGTAGCAGGTGTTGTTGGAGCGAGCTGTGGATTCGGAAGGTTTCGTTTCGTTGTGTATTTTTTGTTTTCGTTTTTTGGGAAGTATTGGAGTTGAAATTTCGATTTATTTCAGAGATTTCAGGGCTCTGTGAAAATTGTAGCGATGTGATTCTTCACTCGAAATACTTCAGAATTCTGTATAAAATAGTAAATTTCACTGTGTTGAAGATATTTAAAAAAGTATTCACAAATTATAAATTCCACTGTGATAAAAATATCAAAACACTCTAAATTCCACTGTATTAAAAATATAAAAATGATATTAAAAAATTGTAAATTCCATCCTGTTCCCAATATAAAGACACCTATCCACAAATTACAAATTCCACCGTGTTAGAAGAGTAAAAAGAAAAGTCCAAATATTATAAATTCCACCGTGTCAAAAATATAAAAGAAACACTGAATTCCACGGTGTTAAAAATCCTCCAAAATGAAGTTTGAAATGCAAATGCACGAGGAACTCCGTCGACTCGCGTTTGTTCAGCAATGTTTCACGCGTTGCGAAAGGGATTACAATCAAAGCGCAAGACTCCTCTCTCCTCTTGCTTATTTTTCCGTCGTTCGTCACTTTTTTTCATCCTCGATCTCCCCCCTCCCTCTCGGGGTATTTGTCGTACAAACGCGCAAAGTTGTTCTTAGCGAGAGGGGAATATTTTGAAACGCGCCTGCCCGATGAATTAACGCCGACGTCGAAACAATAAAAGAGCCTCGTCGATGTTATCCGGCGCGTGATCTACGCGCGTTTCGCGATCGCCCGATAGATCAAGCGAGCTCGTTCAAGAATCGTGTAGCCTGTCGTCGGGAGACTGTCATTTGCCGCGTTACCTAGGACTCCTCGGCAACGGTGTGTGTTGTGCAAGAGATGATCGATGAGAGAGTAGCGATGCTTCTCTTCTCTCCTGCAGATAAAAATCAGACAAGCCACTTAAATTGTACGAATTATTGCCGCGTACTCGTACGGTTTATCTGCATGCGAGAATCTCGACAATTATCTTCGGTGATAGAGAGCGAAAGGGTTGATTTTTGATTTAGAGGTGGAATTTGCGAGGGGAATATTTGCCAAATATTAAGTTTACCAAGGATTGAGTTTACCAAAAATTAAATTTACCAAGTATTAAGTTTAGCAAATATTAAATTTACCAGGAATTAAATTTGCCAAATTTTAAGTTTACCAAATTTTAAGTTTACCAAATATTAAGTTTACTAAATATTAAATTTACCAAGTGTTAAGTTTACCAAATATTAAATTTACCAGGAATTAAATTTGCCAAATATTAAATTTACCAAATATTAAATTTACCAAGTATTAAGTTTAGCAAATATTAAATTTACCAAGAATTCAATTTGCCAAATTTTAATACTAATATACTAATAATAAATAATACTAATCTTAAAAAGAAGACTCGTTGACGATGTTAAAAATTAAAATCCTCTCGCTCCTTCAAATTCTTTACAATCGAAATTAAAAATTACGTCTATCTTCCAAAAAATATAGAAATAAAAATTGAACATCGTGAGTTTCGTCGAAACTCCACCGATCATAAGATCCTTTCACAATTAACTCGAGGCTGATTCGAACAGGTGTCGAGCCGGTGTGTGTTTGCTTAGAAAACAGAAACAGATCTCTCGAGGCGTTTTCATTCGTATCATGGGACTGGAGCCACTTTTACGATCCCTCGAGCCACCAGGAGGCACGTTTCCTGCGCGCGTTCACCGTGTTGGCGTACTTACTTACGTACGTACGCGTCGCCTTGGCCTCTTAACGTAATCGTACGTTTACACCGAGCGGCAGGTCCACACCGTGTGCCGACGACGAACCGTTTCCATTTGCCGATCGATCATTCCTTGCGTAACGGATTCGACGCGAACGATCGAACAATGCGTTCCAATGGGACGATCGATCGATCGATCCTGACACTGGCGACGACGTCGATCAAAACCTGCCTATTTACACGCGTTCGTACTAATTTCATACGGAGGGTATTTATTGGCGAACGTAGCCATTCCAATTTGTCCATTTTTATTTCTTCGATCACGTATTCTAAGAAATTCAATTTAAACAGATTCTCTTTTTAATATTCGGCTGATACTTATTTTGTGCTTTATGCGAATGATCAGGGGATTATTTCGATGGTAGGGCGTGTAAATTTGACCCTTTCTTGGCTGGAGGAATGCGTGTGTTTCACTTGAGATCGAAAAATTATGAATTGAGGAAAAATCAATTGGCGACGAAAGGGTTAAGTAAATTTCCAAAGGAAAACGGTGCAACACTGCTTTATGTATTATTAAATGAAACATTTTACTGTTTGCATCAGCAATGTGAAAAATAAGGTTTCCATTGAGCTATGAAAAAAGCCAAAAATAATTCATTATGATTCCAAATTTAAAAAATTCGGCGACGAAAGGGTTGAATGAATTCCGGAAGAAAACGGTGCAAGATGAAAAGAAGACTATCTTTTACATTATTAAATTAAACACATTACTATTTGCAATGCATGGCAAAGCGAAATATAAGATTTCCATTAAACTATGAAAAAAAGCAAATGGAAGATAGCCAAAAGTGCATGATTCATTAGATTCCAATTAAAAAAAAATTTGGTAACGAAAGGGTTGAATGAATTTCCGGAAGAAAACGGTGCAATATGAAAAGAAGACTATCTTTTACATTATTAAATTAAACATTACTATTTGCAATGCATGGCAAAGTGAAATATAAGATGTCCATTAAACTATGAGAAAACCAAAGAGAAAATAGTCAAAGTCATTCCAAAAAGAATATTCCAAAGTTGCACAGACTCGTCAATCGCAACGAAAAACTCGTCAACAACTCCCACAACTTCAGTACACCTCGAATACACCGTCGTCGTTCTATCGAAATCCTCTCGACCAATCGAACGGTCGAGCTACTAAGATCTTACACACGACAGAATCGATTGAATCGTTTTCTGGTACGCATTTGTCCGGCAATCGTCCCCGCACACAAGCCGCGTTCTTATGAATTATGCACGCAGGGGAAGAGTATACAGCCCCGCGGAATATTATCAGCTTGGCTGTTATCTGCCGTTATTATGGCCGCCTACCGCGACCTGGTCGTGCACGCGCCTGTCCTCGTACACGTCGCCCACGTAGAAATTCTACGGCATTCCACCATGGAGCCACGACGTCCGTTGCGACTCGCATGGGGAAAATAATGATCGCGATTTTTAACGTATGGATACTGGCCGCGACGCGGCGGCCCCCTCTCTCTATTCATCGGCGAGGAGATTTCAACGCCTGCACAAGCGATACGATATCTCTGTGATTTGTTTTAATTGCTGTCGATCGAGGTGTTTAGCTGATAGAATTATCGCTAGACGAGGATTTTTCTGCGAATTTATGGAAATTTCTGCTTTCCAGGGCCGGCACAAGAGGAACGCGACGTTCCCTGGAGGTCAGACCACCATTCTACAGGTCACTCCGACCATCAGGAGTAAGTATCGATGGTATTCGTGTATTGTACATCGAAGGGTTAATTGTTGGTCGTGTGTGGTTTGATTTAAGTTCGTTTTGAGGGGATTGGTAATTCAGACTTTGAGAGTTGAGCGAAATTAGTCAGGTGTTAAAGTGATTATTCCTTCTGAGTAGGTATAATTAGAAGGAAAGTAGGAAATTAAGTTATATCAAGTTGTGTCAAGTTTGAGAATATACAGGGTGTACTATAACATGCGGGTATAATTTCAATGCTGGCTTCAGCAGACATAAATAATAAAAAGAGTTCACGTAAACATTTATCCTATTTCATCTTATTTCCAAGTAGCAGTCATTTTTGTGTTCTACCAATTAAACGAAGATCTCATTTGTCAGAAGTGTTACTGGAAGACAGAAAGAGCTACGTTTGAACAAACACTTTTTTATTATTTCTGTATGATGATAACATCACTGAAATTATGCACGCGTATTTCGACACACCCTGTACATTGAAACCCTTGATAATCCGCAATGAACAGTATATCAAAACCCATTAACACGCCTGACAACCACTAAACTCACCCCAATTGCACACCATCCCTCTCAACCTCGAAATATCCCCTAAAAAATTCTCCACACACTTCCCCTACCATGCAACCCGAATCTCCCCTGATAGAACCCCAACTGACGTGAAACCCTCTTCAATTACAGGCAACACTCCGAACCCTCCTCGACCTCGGTTCAACAGCTGTCGCTCAGAGCCACGAAGCAACACATGGATACCGGAAACGAGTGCCTCCACGGACCTCTGTTCTTCCGTGTTCTCCTCCTCCCCTTCTCTGGTAACCAGTAGCGTGGTCACAACGACGAGCAATGCCCCGATAAGCAACGGTAACGCTGAGAACAGCAACGATCATCGAAGTAGCAACGTGTCACCGTTGAGGACCAGTACACCATTGGAGAACGGTGGTTCCACGTATTTGCCGAATGTACCGTCGACATCTTCGATGAATGGAAGTGTTTCTAACAGTACGGTGTACTCGACGACGTCGACGTCGACTACTATGTCTACGGGAAGCTCGTTGACGGAGAAACCGCCTATAGCACCTAACGAGGGTAGATCGAGCTATAGGGACCAACCGGCGAGTAGCGCTTCCCCGCCGACCAGGGACAAGCTTCGAGCGGAGGACAAGGCCAGACGTAGGATGAATCAGCATGGAGAACGAGCTGGGACCGCCTGCTCTGGCGAGAAACTAGGTCGGTATAATTAGCGATGGGGTTTTCAGATACTTCGAATCGGTGTGGATGTGTGTGAAGGGGTGAGAAAGTTGAGTCGCTCTGAATGTGATTCGATACTTGAGGACTTGGAATGTCTTGAAGTTTGAGTCACTAAAGTTTCGCTGAGTCTTGAGTCTCTGAACTTTCGGTGAGACTCTTGAATCTCTAAAGTTTCGATAAGTTTCGACACTTGAGTCTCTAAAGTTTCGATAAGTCTTGAATCCTGAGTCTCTAAACTATCGCACGTCTTGAAACCTGAGACTTGATAGATTTTGAGTCCTTAAAGTTTCGACGAGTCTTGAAACTTGAGTCTCTAAAGTTTCGATAAGTCTTCACTCTTGAGTCTCTAAAGTTCTGATAAGACTTGAATCTCGAGTCTCTAAAGTTTCGATAAGTCTTGAATCCTGAGTCTCTAAAGTTTCGACAAGTCTTGAATCCTGAGTCTCTAAAGTTTCGATAAGTCTTGAATCCTGAGTCTCTAAAATTCTGATAAGTCTTGAATCTCAAGTCTCTAAAGTTTCGACAAGTCTTGTATCTCGAGTCTTTGTAGATCTTGAATCTCTAAAGTTTCGATGAGTCTTGAAACTTGAGTCTCTAAAGTTTCGATAAGTCTTCACTCTTGAGCCTCTGAAGTTCTGATCAGTCTTGAATCCTGAATCTCTAAAGTTTCGACAAGTCTTGTATCTCGAGTCTTTATAGATCTTGAGTCTCTAAACTTTCGACAAGTCTTGAATCTCGAGTCTCTAACGAAGATCCTTTTCAGCAAGATTCATTTTTAAATAAAATTTTCAGAATAGATTATTCGTGAAACAACGATTCGTATAATTTTCAAATTCTTTTCATCCTAATTGTAATTCATGGGAGTACTCGTCCATTATCTCGACAGCATTGAACCAAAGCTTCTATTATTTAACCCCACGGCCAGAGTCAATTGCACCAACTCACATCTGGTTAGACCGTCGTTTACAACCTAACAAGATACACTCTGACATCTTTTATTCATCTCTCAACGATGATTGCACATCTTTATTACCTCCGTCTCCTACCAACCATCTGAAAATCATTCGCCTCGATAATTGATACTCGTCGAATCGTTAAAATTCGTTATTACGACCATTAAAATCCTTAATTAATATCTACCATTTCTTGATCACCCTATGTACAATGGAGATACAATACACATTTTTTTTCATTCCTACGAAACTCGGTCGTAAATTCTTCTTTCTTTCTTTCTTTTTTTTTTTTTTCATACGTCGAAGAATCGGTTTTACGTCGATTTTAATTGCACCATTAGCAGATTGGCGACTCTCTAAGGCTCCACAGAGAGAAATTTTACGGCGTTGCTACGCGAGCAAAGGAGAAGACGTCGGATGAACGCGATTCGGTTTCAAGACGCACAACAATGCCTGCGTTTCATTGAATCGCCGGGGGAAACTGGGTCGTCCACGACTATTCTTCTCCATCACGATGATTCGCGCGGCCGCGTTAAATCGTACCTGACCTATTTTCCCTACCCGTGACAATTGACGGCACAAACAAAACTGTTAGCGCGTGTCCACGCAACCAGTTGCAGACCGCCCGTGTGAAAATCCGGCCGATTTTATCCGGGCGAATTTATTCGGTTACGGTTGCTTTTGTTTTTCCCGTATCTTTCCATCTGGATGGGAAGCTTGGGCTGCGAGCGGTGTCTCGCTCGTGCGAGAAATAGTACGAGACGAACTGCAGTTCTTTTTTTAAATACGTGAATTTTCTTGTCATTTTTTCTTCGTGTCAGAAAATGCGACCTCATTTTTTTTTTTTTTTGAGAAATCTTTGCATTAGAGAAACGTAACGTCTTCCTCGGAAGATTTCTGACACACATACACTACCGTGAATATTTTCAGAAAAAGGTCGACAATATTAAGAATTTTTTATCATTCAAAGCAATCGAAGTGAAGTAAATTGCTACTGATTTCCACAGTATCAATTTCAAATCTGTAGAAAGGTAGCAGCAGATACAATATTGATATAAGTTGGCAAGTGATTCGAAAGTTTTGGTCGGTAGCTTTCGGTTGATAGGAGAAAATACGAAAATATAAATTTTTTTCAAAATTCCAATATTCACCGTAGAGTAAATATGAAAATATATAATTGAATTTTTCCTCCAGCTGAAATTGGAGAGAGAGACTGTAAATGAATTTAGGACGATAGGCATTGCAGTTTAATTAGCGGTGCGTTTCATATTCGCGATTATCGAAGCAAAGGGTGTCTCCAGTAGGCTGTCGGTGAACAGGCCTGCGGAAATTGTTGGAGAAATTAATCAGCGACTGGTACAGGCGCCTGCTCCCTCGAACGTGATAGGGGATTCCAATTAAACGAGCGGAGGGGTTTTTCTCTATGGTGTTCCCACCACGTCGGTATCTCGTACGTGCTTTCCAATCGGCGATAAGTTAGCTTGTCGCTTTCAGTGAACTACGAGCCTTTAATCGCGATATGATTCCCTCTGGCGTTCACGTGGCCACGATTTCTCTGCGTCGCTGCGCTCGCCTCTGTGCCACGTGTTTAGAGGAATTAGGGTGACATCCTGCGTTCCTTGGGTCGTTGCGTAATTCTGGTCCGTTTAATCTTTATTATTTTTTCATAATTCTCTGATACTTGCGACACTTTTGTGGAAAATCATTTAATCCTTTGCTTTTGTAATTAATTTTCTGGTTGATATTTATTTATGAATTAAAGTTAACACTTTTAGAGGAATTAGGGCGACATCCTGCGTTCCTTGGATCGTGACAATGTTATTTTTCAATAATTTTCTGATATTTGGGAGATTTTTGTGAAAAATTATTTAACCCTTTGTTTCTGTAATTATTTTTCTGGATTGGTATTTATTTCACAATTAAGGATCCGAAGGATTTCGGATTTTTAATTACTGGAAGAATGGTCTATTTTTGTTATTCAATTGTTGGTCGGATCGATCGAGTGAAATTGTGTGGAAGGAATAATTGTATAAATCATTGATGGATCGAGGAAGACATTGGAAGAAGGAAGGATCTGTGTGGTGTTCGAGATGTATAAGGGTCTAACTAGCACAGTTAGCTTCGATACCAAAGGATTCCCTCGGTGTGATTACGCTTCCCGTTCGTTGCGTAATTGCGTGCGCACAATCTTGGAGAAAATCTACCGGTTCTCTTCACCGGTGTGCCCCGTGATCTCTGCTCTCCCGTCTGATCCGTAGATTTCATTTAGATTGACGTCAAGCGAACGAACGACCGAGGGAACCCGTTGCCGAGTTCCACCGCTGATCCAGAGATTTATGTCGAACGCTGATTGCCGAAAGATACCTGTTTACCTCGTAAATAACCAGCCCTTCTCTACCTTTCTTACCTTTTTGACAAGTGGTTTCTAATTTTCGCAGAGGAATAGTCGATCGAATGAGCTTTATTTCAGTCCTCCTCTTGATATCTAATCAACAGATTTTTACTGGATATCCTAGGCATTCGAATTTTCTAAGTAAAAGCTCCTGGATTTCAAGGGTACCAAGTCAGAATTTTGCAAAGATAAGAGTTCTTGGATTTCAGGAGTGCCAACTCAGGATTTCCCGAAAATAAAGATCCCCAGATCTCGAGGGTACCAACTTAGAATTTTCCGAAGATCAGAGTCCTTAAATTTCAGGAGTGCCAACTCAGGATTTCCCGAAAATAAAAAGCCCTAAATTTTAGGGTTACCAACTCAGGATTTTCCAAAGATAAGACTCCTTAAATTTCAGGAGTGCCAACTCAGGATTTCCCGAAAATAAAAAGCCCTAAATTTTAGGGGTACCAACTCAGGATTTTCCAAGGATAAGAGTCGTTAAATTTCAGGAGTGCCAACTCAGGATTTCCCAAAAATAAAGATCCCTGGATTTCTGGGGTACCAACTTAGAATTTTCCAAAGATAAGAGTCCTTAAATTTCAGGAGTGCCAACTCAGGATTTCCCAAAAATAAAGATCCCTGGATTTCTGGGGTACCAACTTAGAATTTTCCGAAGATCAGAGTCCTTAAATTTCAGGAGTGCCAACTCAGGATTTCCCAAAAATAAAGATCCCTGGATTTCTGGGGTACCAACTTAGAATTTTCCGAAGATCAGAGTCCTTAAATTTCAGGAGTGCCAACTCAGGATTTCCCGAAAATAAAAAGCCCTAAATTTTAGGGGTACCAACTCAGGATTTTCCAAGGATAAGAGTCGTTAAATTTCAGGAGTGCCAACTCAGGATTTCCCAAAAATAAAGATCCCTGGATTTCTGGGGTACCAACTTAGAATTTTCCGAAGATCAGAGTCCTTAAATTTCAGGAGTGCCAACTCAGGATTTCCCGAAAATAAAAAGCCCTAAATTTTAGGGTTACCAACTCAGGATTTTCCAAAGATAAGACTCCTTAAATTTCAGGAGTGCCAACTCAGGATTTCCCGAAAATAAAGATCCTTGGATTTCTGGGGTACCAACTTAGAATTTTCCAAAGATAAGAGTCCTTAAATTTCAGGAGTGCCAACCCAGGATTTCCCAAAGTTCCTCTTAAAATTGCAATTCTCTGTAAAATTATTTTTCCCCGTCCTTCGAATTTTCTCCTCGTCCTTCGAAAAGTACGCCATCTTCCCCGTGGAACGAAGCTCCTCCGAGGTTGGCTGGTCGAGGCAGCCTCGGCAGAAAACCGTAATTAGCATAGTAATGGCGGTTAGATTTCGATGGCGGGTCGATAGAAACGCGGATAAACGAGCGAGATAAGCGTTCCTCTCGCCTCGGACGCGAGAGGAGGGCTCGGTTATTAATTAGTCGGCAGTCAATTAATCGTAAGGTCGTTTGGCTGGCTTCGAGACGCGTTAAGGTTCCATTTGAACGCTGAAAAGAAGTTAATTGGTCGAGCCTGGGGACGAAACTTTTTCGATAATCACCGTTGCTAAAGTGGTAGCAAGCAGCCCGGAAACGCGTTGCAAGATCCACGACTATTAGACGCCTAGACCTGCCATTATCCTGCCTCGTGACGTGTACACGCAGTAGATGGCTCTATCGAAGGGATCTCTCTCAGATTTGACGTGTGTGTTTCAGACGATGACGCATGTCGGAGGATCCTGCTGGAGCACGAGAGAGAGAGGGAGGGTAAATTGCGGGACATCGCGGCCTCCTTGACACAGCCGCGCGTCAGAAGGAGCAAACCGAGGACCTCTGAGCCCACTAGAGACGTCGTCGACGCGGCTAACGCTGCTTATCAGGACAAATTCGTGAGTGGAAAAATTGGTGGATTAACGGGCAAATATTTTTGCACCGGAGAACGTTTTCTTCCTTTTATTAGATGAAACTCGAAGTTCCTACAGCTGAGGAATTACCAGCTTCTCAGATTAAAAGTAGAATTTTTCTCTCATTCCTAAAAAATTTTCACACGCAAATATCTTTACGCACAATAGTATTTCTTCGTAATTAATCTGTACTTCGTAAACTAATCTAAATTGTGATACAAAATTACGACAATTCCTGCAGCTGAAGAAGGTCTAAATTAATTTCACTAACTTCTCCTATCAAAAATAGAATTTTTCTCTCATTCCTAAAAAACTTTTACACGCAACAGTGTCTGAATATTTCTATTACCTAAAACCGAACCTTTGCACTCTTCGAGTAGATACAGTTTCCCTTATTTTTTTTTTTAATCAATTAAGGACCAAGTCCTTGAACTCTATAAAAATTGAGCAGCGATAGAAAGAGTAACTTTAACTCCCAGATCCGAGGTGATCCAGACGGATGCGGCCTGGACATCTCCGGCATCAGGTACTCGCCCACCTCCGAGCTGAGAGTGGACCTTCCCGCGGAGGATCTGTTGAACATCAAGAAAGGCTGGTTGATGAAACGTGGACTGAACAAGGTCCGTGTGTCTCATAACTCGACGATCATCTTCCCTTTCCCCTCCAGTTTCGCTCATGCCCGTTGAATAACGCTAATGAAAGTCAATATATGCAACGAAACACGTTGTTCTGTTCCACCCAGGAATGGAACAAGCACTGGTTCGTGCTGCGCGGTTGCGGCCTCATGTACTACCGAGATCCCTGCGCGGAAGATAAGGGTATCATGGACGGCGTCATAGATCTGAATACCGTTACCGCCGTCACGCCCCTTCAAGTCGCAAGAAATTATGGATTCCAGACTGTGGTGAGTGTGACCGGTGGGATTTGTGCGCTCGGTGATTTACGGTAATTAACATTCCGCACGAACGATCCCGCTCCGGAACATCCAGTTAGACATTTACGGGAGCCGTGATTCGCCTACTTCTTCTCCATCATTCACGCATAAACGCGATGCTGAACGGTTTTACCTGTGGGTTATTGTTTGGCACAGTGATCTATTAGGTTTTGTACGCCTTGGTGTGCTATTTTTTTTAGGATCGAGTGGAGTTTCAGTACGATCCTTTGATTTAGCAGATTTTGGACTCTTTAGGATAAATTAGGGCGGGCAAGAAATTGCGACGAGTCAAATCTGAGCTCTGGAGAATCGGGAATTTCTGAGCTCTGAGGAATTTTGAATTTCTGAGCTTTGAACAATCTGGAATTCTTGAGCTCTGAGGATTTGGAATTTCTGAGCTCTGAGGAATTTTGAATTTCTGAGCTTTGAACAATCTGGAATTCTTGAGCTCTGAGGATTTGGAATTTCTGAGCTCTGAGGAATTTTGAATTTCTGAGCTTTGAACAATCTGGAATTCTTGAGCTCTGAGGAATTTGGGATTTCTGAGCTCTGAAGAATCTGGAATTTCTGAGCTCTGAGGAATTTGGGATTTCTGAGCTCTGAAGAATCTCGAATTTCTGAGCTCTGAGGAATCTCGAATTTCTGAACCTATTTTTTAGTGACTCTTTGGTCAAAGAATTCAATTGAGTTTGAGGACAATCCTCAGTTTTACCAATCACATCACCGCCTATCTCTAAAACTCTTTAGAACAAATGATTATAGTCAAGAAATAGCGACAACCTAAATCTTGTCGCAAACTCTAAACTGATCCACCAAACTCCATTAAAATCCGGATAAATAGGCGCGGAAATCACCGATATTTAAACCATAATAACTCGAGATAGCAAAACATCGAAGAATTGTTACTACGCTTAGCTATATCCACTGTTAACCACGGGATCTCCTGGGGGCTTGCTGGTCAATTGGATTGCCGGAATTAACTTCCGTGCTCTATCTGGGAGTGGCTTTAAAAACTCTGTAACTCAATTTCACGCTAGAACAGATCTTGCCACTCTTCGTTTATTCGTGTCACTGATCTCTGTCACCCGCCGCATCCCGCCTGCTTGTCCCAGATAGACGATTACGTTTTATATCTTGTTGCCTTCTTTCCTTCTCTCCCCTTCTCTTCCTTCTCTCTACGCGCCTGTTTCAACAGGCATGGGACGATCGAGGATCCACCGTGTTGTCCGCGGTCACAGCTGGCATTCGAGCCAGTTGGATGTCTGCTATTCGAAGGGCCGCCAATTTGCCTGATCCGGATAGTAGCAGCGATTCTCTGACCGTTTGTCAGGATGGACAGCAAGATAACACGCCGCAGTCGCCTACAGCGTAAGTAGATCCATGCAAATTTCATATGAAAAAATAATCCAAGAGACTCTTAGACTAATCTACATCTTAGACACAAATTTTCATTTACTCAAACCTCCTCCTCTGCTTTCAGATCCATCACAGACCGAGAGAGAGACTCGGTGGTCCCATCGACCTCTGTAACACCGCGCTCAGTCCTCTTCTCTTCCGACGAGGAGTACAGAACAGCGTCGGAGGGAGGCAGACGAGAGTCCGGCGACTGGTCAGAGGTTCCAGTGTCACCGCCTCTCGTGAGAAACGGCGACTGGTCCAGTGGACTGAAAGGATCCAGCTGGTCTGATTCCGCGAATCACGAGTGGTCGGAGCTGCCACCGTCACCGCCGTTGACTAGAACAGCTCTGTCTCGAGTCAAAGCTCGATCCAGGTCGAGCTCCAGGTCTAGAGTCTACAAACGAAGTCGCAGCTCGCCTCCGAGCTCCAGGAGAAGCACTCTGGACAGCGTGAGATCCGAGGATCTCATGATGGCTTGCTGCGAGCTGGGAGAAGACGAGGAACAGACGAACGGACATATGCAGAGCAACAGTTGTCTATCGAGCGCGAACGAGAGCCCTCTGATCGTCGAACTGCTGGAGAACCAGGTGTCGATGCTGAGGGACCAGCTGGACCAGAATCAGTCGCACCCAAGCACGCTACTAGTCATTATCGAGCGTCAGGAGAACGAGATCGAGAGCCTGAAGTCGCAGCTGAACACAGCGAGGGCGGACGTCGCTAGCGCCGAGAAGGAGCTGTCCAGGCTGAGACAGCAGAAGGCCGAGGCTTCCATCAGGGAGAAACAGGTGGACGAGCTGTTGAACACTATTCAGAGAACGGAGCAACAGAGGAACAAGGATCTCGAGGACCTGGAGAAGATGAAGAAGATGTACAATAGGGATAAGGAGATGCTGGAGTGTAAATTGTTAGAAACGGAGGCTATTCTTAGGGAGACCAGCGAGAGGTGCGAGATGCTTAGCAAAGAGCTGGCTTCCAGTCACAGGACTGTCGAGCATCTGCAGTCGGAGATATCTTCTTTGAGCAACAGGTTGTCTCAAGGTACGTAGGTTAAACCGAAGAAGATAGTGTAAGTTTGATGGGATGATCGATTGTGTTGTTGGTGTAGGAATAGACGAGAACGAGCGATTGTACAGCAAGGTGAGAGAACTGGAAGAGAAGGGTGGACTGTCTTCTTCGAGAGAACGAGGGAGGAGCTTCGATTCGTTGAGCGATCTGACCAACATCGAGCTGGATCTGGACTTGAATTCGCTGGATAAGGAAAGGTAAGGAAGAAACGTTTAATTAACCATTGTTCCATGTATTTCTGAGTAACTCTACGATACATTTTCCTCTGTTAGAATTATGGAGGAGTACGACGAGCTTCGAAGCCGCTTCGAGAAGGCAATTTTGGAGATACGAGCGATGCGCAAGGAGCTCCGCGAGGCTCACGCGATGCAGGATGCTCTGGAGTTGGAGATCTTCGCTCATAAACAAGACGCAGCGAGTGTCAGCGAGACGAATCAGGCTCAGATACAGTTGATGGCAGCGAGAATCCAGGATTTGACCAACAAGCTCGCCGCGAGCGAGAAGCAAGTGAGAACGTTGAAGCAGAAGCTGACGAAGGCCGAAGCGAGAGACAAGAGGAGATCGCTGTCGTTGAAGGGTCGAGAGTCGTTCCAGATTTCACAGGAGATGGAGGACAAGCTTGTGGACCTGGAGAACAAGATCTGCGCTATAGAGCGCGGGAAGAGCATCACCGCGGCCGTGACGACGGGAAGCAGCTCGAAGGAGTCGAGTCCTAATCCAAAGAAGGAGAAGAGGAGGGATGGGAAGAGCCTGGACCGCACTAGATTGAGAAGAAAGTCGTTGGACAGTGCGACGAGCTCGGAACCGATGAAGGTGTTGATCAGATTGAGCACGCTGGAGACAAAGGTAGCTAACGTGACGGAGAACATGGCGAGCGACGCGGAGAAGGATTCCAGCGAGTGCAGCGAGGTCAGCGGATCCTCTACCAGCGAGGTATCGCTCGAGATCATCGCGAGGCTAAGGAAACTGGAGAGAGTGGTGTCAAAGTCGAAGAGACGGCTGGAGAAGTGTTTAGGTTCGACGCAGGCGGAGGACAAGGCGGAGAAGTGTTTGCGCGAGGTGAACGACATCCTGGACTCGTGTTTAGAATGTAAGAAAAACCAAGCTAGCGCTCAAGTGACGGAGTCAGTAGGCGTAGTGGTATCTAGACTAGAGACTATACTTAAAGATAAACTGAGCGAACTCACGAAGAGACGGCAAACGCTCGAGCAGAACGGCCAGCTGGACGATCGTGCGAAGATGAGATTGATCGCGGAGAGGGTCGCGTTCGAGTTCGTCGTTCTGAGGCAGATCAGGTGCGCGATCGGCCGGACATTCGACCGTAGTGCCGTTCTCAGTGAATTGGTCGAAACTAGTCAGCTTGCCTCAAGCTTAATGCGTAAGATTCACGGAACTAAGCCCAAAACGTACCAAAACACCAGTTACATTCAGTATCTTACTAGAGTGTTAGCGAATAAGTTAGTACTAGTAGGCGGCGTGGCCGCAACCGAGACGACGACCGAGTTGCCAGCGGCTCGCAGCGAGAGCCTGAACTTCCTGCTGCAGAAGCAGCGAGAGGTAAATGAGGTCGTGCGTAGATACAAGGAGACGAAGTTGAGGCAGCTCGCGGAGGCACTGGCCGCTGAAACTTTGAGCATGTCCGAGCAGGAGGATCACAACAAGCAACAGGTGATCAATTCTAGTAAAAAATTGCTGGAGGATCGACGAATTCGCGAGGCGTGGGCGTTAGCTCAGGAAACGGTGAGCAAAGAGCTGGTACAGGCTGAGGTGTCTCACGTGATCATGCGTTGCGGTCAGATGTACGAGCAGAACATCACCGGCATCACCGACGCCTGCCTCAGCTTCGACAGCGGTGAACACGTCACGCTGGAGTCTTGGATCGACGCCGCGCAGGCGAGACTGCGCGAAGAGATGGAGCTGTCGACACGCGAGCTATCCGATGTATACGAGGAGTGTCTTCATCAGTTGAAGAAGAAGAAGTCAGCTACCGTAGAGTCGAAGTACGAGTCTAGACAGCTGTTGACAGACTACGCGGACGTGATCGCGCACAAAGCTTTAATAGACGCCAGAATCGGGCTTCTTCAGGAGAACACGAGACAGTTGACGAGCTTCCCTGGGGAGACTTTCGTATCTAGTCTAATCCGGAACGACGACGTTCTATCGTGTCTGTTAGCCGCAGACGACCACGAGTTCCAAAGCAATCCGATCCTCGACGCGGAGTACAGTTACCTTTATCAGCAGTTTAGCAAGGAGTGCGAAGACAGGATAACCGGCTCGAAGCGTACCTCGAAGGAGCAGTTGAAGAACGTGGGTCAGAGTTTAATCGGCCTGGAGGAGGAGCTTGTAGAGCTTGGTAAACGCGTTCGAGAGAGATCGTGCGAAAACAGGGAGAATGTCGCTCCTTGGACAACCACGAAGCCGACCACAGCCACCGTTAACGATTGGTCAAGCGTGTGTGAGAAGTGCACGCAGCTACGCGAGCAGATCAAGAAGTTAAGCGACTACATGAACGGCGTGACTTGCAAGCAGTGCGACCAGCTGCAGGATACCATTCAGAGGATAACGGCAGAGCACAACGAGGAGCTGGAAACATTGAAACGCAGTCAGGAGAGGGATTTAATGGATATCAAAGGAACATGAACGGCGTGACTTGCAAGCAGTGCGACCAGCTGCAGGATACCATTCAGAGGATAACGGCGGAGCACAACGAGGAGCTGGAAACATTGAAACGCAGTCAGGAGAGGGATTTAATGGATATCAAAGGGGAATTAGACAGTCAGAGGCAATCTTTAACCACTCAGTACGAACACGAGGCGGCCAGTCTGCGTGAGAAGGCGAGGAAACTGGAGCACAGGCTGAACGCGATGGACTCGGAGCATTCTGCTCACGTGAACGAACTTAGAGCCGCTTATCAACGATCCATGAGCGCTGAATTGGACACAGACGCCGAGACGAGGAAGAGATACAAGGAGGAGATCAAGCAGCTGCGTGCTCTGTGCGAGAAAGGCTTGATAGCCATGGAGAACTCTCACAGACGTATCATATCCGAGATGGAGGAGAAGCATCGACAGGAATTGGAGAATTTGAGGGTGGAGAAGGAGCAGGCTCTGTCGGAAGAGACTCAGGCTACTTTGGCTGCTCTGGACGCCATGAGGAAGGCTCACGAGCACGAGGTGCAGAAGGAGATAGCTAAATTTAAACAGGAATTTCTCAAACAGATGCAGGCACGCGAAGACATTGGCGTGCTTCACAAAGAACACGAGTAGGTATCTTAACTTTTTTAACATTGCTACGAACTATTTGTTCCTGTTACTGGTGAATTTATAGAGAAGAGATGGAGGAGATCAAGCAGGAGATCCTTTCGTTGTCCGCCAAGTACTCCTCGAAGTGCGTGGAGTCGGCAGCCTTGGAGGAGAAGGTAGGATCTCTGACGAAGCAGCTCGCTCAAGCGCAACAGCACATCATGCAATTGGACGCGAGGAACAAACAGCTGAGGGCTCATCTGGTGTTGGAAACGAACGACACAGGGATCAACGACACCATGCAGTTGCTAAGAGGCAGGGACAACGAGATCAACGAGCCGAGGGAGGAGATTCATCGACTGCAACAGTTGAAGGTAACTTTCGAGGGTTTCCGTGAGAACGAGCCCCGTTTACAACGTAGATGTGGTTAACAATTGTACGATACTAAATGATTAACTCCGCCGCAATTACATGTTATGGCGCCATCCCTTACGAGCTTCCTGCGACATTATTCTGACGTTCGACCGTCAGACTTCAGAAAGAGCAGAACGCTTTTTAGATAACGAAGCTCCGACTGACAATTGTATATACACGGTAGCGACGAATGTTTTTAGGTACAGCAAGGCTTCAAGTGTTTCGCAAGCTTTATTCGTTCGCGAGTATTTTAACCCTCTGCTGATAGAAAGGGAGTAAAACCATTGTTTAACTGTTCTTTTAGTCAAGGTTTCAAGGTGCACAATGAGATACTACCTTACGTTAACCGATGCACAGCTGGTTGCCATGCCCCTGGGACCTTTGGCTCGACTTTCTCGATGCAACTACATAAAATCACCCTTTAAAAATCCCTGTATATAACAACAACAAATAAAACGACTCCCACAAGCAACCTAACCAACCGCACCATACCCGAGTTAATCGAGGGTTAACAATATGATGAACATCGAAAACGAATGTACTTGTAATTCAATGAAATTTCCTTCACAGAGAGACCTTACTGTACCTATCGAGCCTCGTAAGCAGCCCCATAAGGTGTAATTGTCCACCACCCCCCAACTGATCGTCACCGATCTCTAACGATCGTGTTAACCCCGTCCAAGCACATACACACACACACATACACACACACAGACACGCACTGACGCATTGATATATCTCATATATATTTCACTAACAGCATGGGGAGGCCCCTCGTGATACGTCTGGTGTGCCATCGAAAGCTACGTCGCTAGGCTATTCGCCGCCTTATTCGCCGCAGCGTGTACGGAGTAGCCACGAGCCGCTACTCAGAGCTCAGTCGTGCAGCGAGGAGACGAGAACGCCTGGCGAACGGCCAAGAAGCTCGCTGTCCACGTTGCAAAAGTGCACGACGGACAAGCAACAGCAGTCCGGGTTCTCTTACAAGCTTGAACGCGTTAAATCTGTCTCGTTACCTTACTCGAGTAACATGGTTAGGCCGGGCAGTAGTTCTGCCGTGGTGGCGTCTTTAGACAGAAAAGAGGTGAGCTTAGGTGAAAAGAGCGGCCAGGAGCGTAACGGCCTGGCGTCGTCACCGTTGTGGGACAGCCTCAGACCTAGGAGCGGACTGCCCCATCAGTATCAAGGTACAGAGGAAAGGTGAAATGGAACGAACAGAGAAACTATGATAGAATACACGAGGAGGCTGATGAAAGATATGCTTCTGGTGGATCGCCGTCGTTTCTCGATCCTCCTACTACTACTCCTCCTCCTCGAACTCGTCTTTTTTGCTGCTTCTCTTAAAA